ACTGCTTCCCAAGGGGAGGGGTTAAATGCAGAGAGGGAATTTTGTTGCTCTGTACTGCTGACAGTGGAATGACAATAAAACGCTGGAAAAAAAGATCTTAAATGTAATTTGCATTTGATTCTTCGCATGGATCAGCAGGACCAGTTCCACCATGAGGAGGACTGGAAAATGGCCAGCAGCTTATTTCACATGTATCCCACAGTTTGATTTAAATAAACTGAAATCAAAGGTTGATTTCTGTTGTCGTGGAAACTGAGGGAGCAGAAGTGTCCCTTTGGTTCACATTTTTTTCCTTCTGTTTTTGGCTCAATCAGCCGCACTGAAGTAGGCCCACCTGGGCAATACCATCACAACCACCATCACCACCATTAAAACCACCATCACCACCATTAAAACCACCATCACCACCATTAAAACCACCACTGGGGGTAACAGGAACTACCTGATGTTTGGTGTCACACGTGGGAGACAAGCGTCATGGAGGTCTGCACAGATACTTGGAGCAAACTCGGTGCTTGTTGCTTGGCAACAGCTGATCACCAGCTGCATGACTATGACATCACCAACTTTAAACGTCTAAACCGTAACCTGGTTCTGTTTCTGCTGGTATTAAATGCTGAGGAGACTCTAGGAGTCAGAGCTCTGGTCTTACCTCCATCTAAGCTGTCATTCATCACAGCCAGCAGCATGGCGTCCAGAGGAGGCGTTTAACCCGCGCCTCCATGGGGATGTTTCAGCTCCTCTGTCTGATCTGCCCTGGTCTCAGGATGTGGAAAGCAGCAGCAGCCTTTCCTGAGCTTAGCAGCTTCTGACACTAAAAGTTCAGAAATGTTTTCAGAACAATAAGCCTGGAGTTTAATTTAAGGTCTTTTCTTTTTTTCTGGTGAAAGCATAATCTGCACCTTGGCTGGAAATGAACGTCGTATAATTTGGAGGAAGCAAACAAAGAGGCAAAGGATCAAAGTTAGGTCTGACTTGGTGCGCTGGGTCAGGTGTGTTTTATCAGGTCTAACAGGGCAGGAATTAACCTCCTAAAGAACATTTTCCTCATGATGTACAGAGAGTCTGACCTGATGAAGCTCCACAGACGATCTGTGGGCTTCAGGTCAGGAGGGAACCGACCAACAGAGACCCTTTTTCACCAAGAAACCGTTTCAGAACTAAAACACATTTTCTTTTGTCTCTTAATCAGAAAAAAAGTTATAAAAACTGACTGGAAAATATCTCTTTTCATTTGGGGAATTTAAATCTGAAAAATGTCTTTTGTTTCATTTATGGAGGTGCAGTCCTGTGTTTTAATCTTTATGATTTCATGAAATGGAGTTTTTTCAATAATAATGTGAATGGCTGCTGATTGACGGACGCGTTCTATTGGCTGCTGCTGTTGGTTGAACATTTTTCAGGAGAAATCCTTCAGATCCTGCTCTGTGTTCCTGTTATCATTATTAATCCTGTATTTTAACCCCACTAATTTATATATAATCCATATCCTAACTTTCCTGTATAGTCTGTATATAGCTTCCATATTTATTTATTTTATAGCTTCTTACAATTATTCTCTGTTTATATAAACCATTTATAGTCCATGCATCTCCGAACACATGCAAATATATATCTATATCCTGCATAGCACTTCTGGATAGATGCAAACTACATTTCTTTGCTTTGTAGTTGTGACAGCGTAATGACAATAAATTTGTATTCTATTCTATTCTATTCTATTCTATTCTATTCTGTTCTATTCTATTCTATTCTATTCTATTCTATTCTATTCTATTCTATTCTATGGGGTAAAGTCATGAGCTGTGAATAAAATAGAAGCCATGCTGCTCCATCACTTAGAGCTGATGGAGCAGCAGGTTAGGGTTAGACAGACTAACCTTTATAGATCAAACACAGGAGGAATTGAACAACATCTCTGCAGGTTTGTTTACTCCCTTCTCCTTCACTGCATCCTTTCAGCTGCTACGTCATACACCATATATGGGCGGGGGTAATTTCCTGCCAAGAGCTGAAGGCTGCGTATCTTCCAGGTTCACCACATTAGGAGACCAAAGCAGATTCCTCCCTTAAAGCGTGAACAGCTGCCCACGTGCCCGTGAGCCAGCGGCGCTGTGATGTCATCGTGAAAAAACCTCGCATTCAAAGCCCACACTGAGTGAGGATGCAGGTGAACCAATGCAGCAGCCAGGTGCAGGTTGGGGCTGAGAGGAGAAGGTTAAAGCTCTTCTTACCAACAGGCGCCTTGCAGCTGATGCAGCCCATCCCTCCGCTCACCTAAAACATGCGTCCTGCTGTAAAGCGTACCTCTCTGGTGGAAAGCCTGGTTCTGGTTCCGCTGCTGCGCTGCTTACAGCTCCGGATCTAAGCCTGTGGGACCGGAGGGGGGGCTGGCCATCTCCTCTGCTCCCTGCTGCTCCTCCTGTCTCCTAATCCGCTCAGTTTTCTCTGCAGCTTTTCTTAAATCTGTCTGTCTCTGGATTTCAGCTCCTCGCCAGCAGGAGCAGCTTTCATCCTGAAGTTCAGCACCACAGCGGAGGGACAGCGGCAGGACTCCTTCCTCCAGCCTGGATGTAGTGCTGTGGGCCGGGGTTCACCCCCCACGCTCCGTCACTGTGTGTCGAGTCCACGCCACAGCGTGGGTATGGATCGCCTCCTCCTGATCAACCTGGATGGGAAACAGTCCATGCTTAGGCCGCTCTTATACCGCCTGCTCAGACTTTCCGCCTCCTGGAGGAGCGGAAAGAGACCTGATTGGCTGGAGTCACAGAGGGAGGAGCAGTGGGAGCACGCAGAGGAGGAGCAGGTATTTCAGTTAGGGTTGCATTTCCTGTCCGTGTTTACAGCAGTGAGCCCCCCCCCCCCCTGTTCTCACAGAGCCTGAACAGAACATAGTTGAGTTTTGACTTCCTCAGGCCTCCTGTGAACTGAACCATCTGCTGAATGTCTGATGGAGGAGAACTTCCTGCAGGATGGCCTGATTCATCAACTGTAAACATTTTTCACAGCCTCTGATGCAGGAAAATAGTCCCACAGCATGATGCTGCCATCAGTCTTTACAGTAGAAATGTTGTGATTTTATAAAGCATCATTTTCTTTAAACTGATCTTTAAGGAAAGGAAACTGATGCCCTCCTGTTGATTCACCTCAACATGTGTTTCTCTTTCCTCACGCCCACCAGGAATCTAAAGTTACCCTTCCAGAGCCATTGCCCCCCACCCCCCCATCCCACACTGCACCACAACCATCTTCTCTGCAGCTCAGATCCAACATAACTTCCCTCCCCGACATAGAACCGCTTTTTTACTTCTTTGATTAGGTTTAATGAGACTCCCTGGAACTTTGAGGAGATTTTACTGTTTTTATCTGTTTTTCTTTATCAGCTAAGAGTTAAAAAAGACAGACATGATCAAATGAAACACACAGATTTGTATTTCTATCCATATGAAGAGCTTTTTTATTTTATGGAATTTACCCTAACTGACCAATACCAGTCTAACCCTAACCTAAACCTAAAGTTAATTTCCGTCATTCCTCTAAACTGACTCAGTTTAAAATCCTAATTAGGCCTGTTGGGCCTCAGAAGGTTAGTAAATAGACCCAAAGCGCTCATAAATAGCTAACATAAACAAGAACAAACACAAAAACTCCCCAATGAGGATTAAAGCGCACAGAGCTGAGAGAATAAAGCTGAAAAGAAAAGCCAGAGTCTCTGAAAGGTTGGGAAGTGGGAGGACTGTCAGTCAGACATGTTTCTGCTCCGCTTCTCCTCCTACAGGATGGGGATCTGCTGCACCCACTCTCCTGCTGCTGCCGTCTTTCATAACATCCCAAACTGCGGCAAAACACTCAGACACCAGAAGCTCCACAGAGGACCTGCGTTCGAGGCACTAATCCGATGCTCAGGCGCCACCTGCAGGATTACTGTGGTACTGTCCGCTGGGGAAGTCTGATGCGTCTCTCAGCTGCTGGGCTGAGATGCAGAAGCTGAGGTAGATGTGATGATCAGAAGACCAAACGGTCCACGATGGAGCAAATATTCCTGTCCCACTTTAGCAGTCAGGAAATAGATTCATATTTCACAACTTTGTGTCGTCCACCAGGTCCTTACTCTGAACTTTTAGATGAGATTTTAACACCAAATCAATTCCTTCTGATTCAGTGTTAAATACTGACAGGGCGGGCATGCAGGTGGATCAGTGGTTAGTGCGGACGACCCATGTATGGAGGCCTTAGTCCCAGACGCAGCCGACCCGGGTTCAAATCCAGCCTGTGGTCCTTTGCCGCATCTCTCTCCACCTCTCTCATAACCCCTTATGTTTCAGCCTTCTGTCAGAAAAAAAAATGGCCCACTAGTGCCATAAAGACTAAAAAAAAAAAACTGACAGGGTCATCATAGTGGGAGATTTTAACATCCATGCTGACATTGAAGGCGATAGCTTAAGAGCAGCCTTTAATGCTATCTTAGACACTATTGGCTTTGTTCAAAATGTGAATAGTCCCACACATTCTCATCTTCATACTTTGGATCTTGTGCTGACATACGGCATAGAATGTGAAGAAATAACAGGATTTCCTCACAACCCTGTCCTCTCTGACCACTTTCTAATAACCTTCAGGATTACTTTAACAGAGTTCTCCTCCCCCAAAAGAAGGTTTTACTTTATCAGATCATTAAATCTGCTTCACTTTCTCTCTCCTCTGTGTCACTGAGCAGTGCTGCAGAGTGCAAAAGCTTAGTTTATTCCCCTTCACAGGTTGATGATTTTGTTGATGGGGTTGCTAGTTCTCTGCGTACTGCCTTAGACAACGCAGCTCCTCTGAAAATGGCTCTGGTTTTGCTGGAGGTTTCTTCTTGTTCAAAGGGAGTTTTTTCTCTCCACTGTCACTACAAATATGCTCAGTGTGAGGGATTGCTGCAGAGTCAACATCTACTGTCTCTACCTGCTCATCCAGGAGGATAGAATCCTGCAAAGAGTCATGATCTGGCCTGATAGCTTCACCTTCATTTTTAATTGCACTCACCTGCCTAGTTCTACCCGGTTCCTAATTTTGACTCATCCTTTCCACCTGTGTATGTGCTTTATATTCGGTTCAGCCTGAGAGATCGCGGTCTGATCATTATCTGCAGAGCCCTCAGGGTTTGGGCTTGGGGTGCGAGAGGGTCCATTTTATTCCTGTAAGCCAGGCTCCTATAGGAGACTGGTTTAAAGTCCTGCTGAAATCCTGGTACTACGTCTTGTCTCTGTTGTCTCAACCACTGAGAATGCCTGTCTGCATCTGTGCGTGTCCATCTGGGCACACCTCTGGACCCGTCTGACTCTGAACCTGCCTTCATGCTCTGAGGATTCCTGAAGGCCTGTTCATTCCAATCTGCTCATTACTCCTCCAAGTTGCTAACAAGTCAAGACAGGACTGTGTTTACCCCCCGAAAAAAAGAAGAATATTAAAATTCAACTTCACGTGTGAAGAAAGATGTAAAATGAAAACCATATCTTTAATCTGATTGGTTCAGGGTGTAACTATAGCAGCACTTTCCAGAGGGCAGAGACGGCGTTCATCCTGCAGACTAAACAGATCATCTTCTCCAACCCTCCAGGCTCCCATAGCTGCAGATAAGATGAACCTTTAATTAATGCTGGATTTTAGAAATCAGAAGTGATTCTATTATAGATTTGAGAAGCAGAAGAAATCAAGTGACGGAAGCTGCAGTTTGGTTTGGAAAGAGTGTTGGATGTCCAGAGGGCAAAAAGACAAAGAAGCAGGAAAAGGTTTTTAAATCTATTGCAGGATAAAGTATCAGATCAACTTTAAAGCTGAATGTATGTCTCTAACTAATCAGTTTTGTTTCTGTAACGTTCATCGTTATCATCACCTCTCTAATTCACCCATTAGTTTAAATGTCTGTAATGGAAGCCGAGTCCGCCCTGCAGTCCTCTGAACCCCAATGAAAGGTGAATATCGCAGACATGATGGAGGCCTCTGGCCAAACTCAATGAGTCCAACCAGGCTGATCAAACTCCAAGCCCCACCAGATGTCCAGAATAATTACCACAATCTGTCACAGATAAAAATAGATGAACTTTAAATATTTTGCATAATTAATGGCCTGCCGTAGTGATATCATGAAAGTGCGCTGCCTAAAACCTTAATTAGCACAGCGGATATTGGAGGAAAGGATCAAAGCAAAGAGGGGACCTACTTGGACGCCTTTAGCATCACAGGTTGGGAAATTATAACTTACTGAGACGGAAATCTAACATTAGTCAGCTCCCCCCATTAGTACAAGCGGTAGCATGATATTAATTTATTGTTATACGTCATTATATTGGTGTAATCTCTGGCGTTCTGTTTCAGTTTTCCGTTTTCATCCTTAGATCTATTTTATAGTAGTAGCTGATTTCCTTCTGAATGCTGTTTTCCTGACCCTCATTTGCTGGGTTTTCCTGCTCTGTCTCCGTTCCATGTCCTGTTATCCTTGGAACGTTTTCTTTATTATTAAACCGCTTTAAGCACCATGTTTCATCAAACATCCAGACTATCTGTTCTGTTTCCTCACTCTGTCAGTCAGTCCATTTATGGTGAAGCTAACGAATCTAGCAGCCAAACAAACCAGTATGATCCTCCTACCACCAGTTGGCGCTGTGGTTCGTAGGTTTGGAAGTCTGAAACTTTCCCACTTCTCTGACTGCAGAGCAAAGTTGCACCTTTCTGCAGAATCCATCCCAAGGATTTTAACAGATGTTTGTTGGTCAGCTGGATTTTCTCCATGATGATGATAAACCAGTGGAAAGGATCCCTGGTTCATCATTTTAGTCACCACCTTCTTCGTTGATCTAGTTTCATCAAAGAGAAGGGACACATAGACAGGGACACATAGTGGTGAGTGTCCCAGTGAGACCGCGGCTGGATTCCCCTGACGCGGGATAATCGTGTATATAATCTACTTTCTAAGTCGCTTTGGATAAAAGTGTCTCTTAAATGCAGAAACATATAAGAAAGGATGATAGTTTAGGTCAAATCCAGATAGAAACTCATTATCCGTTAACTGTGGACATTTTGATCTACAGTGAAAAAACAGATTTAGATCAAATCTCCCATTTTTGTAGCAACAGAAGTGGTTAAATATCCTGGAAGGAGGGTGTGAGCAGGTGCCCCCCCCCTGTGCTCAGAGTCGCCTGCAGATATTTGCCTTTGGGTTTTTTTGTGACTTTAGCTTAGAGTCAATCTAATACAGAACTTTGATCATTCTGACCACAGTAAAACCAAAAAAGCTATTTCTAAATTACAAATTCATTTTTAAGGGATTCCGATTATTGATGTAAGTTCAAACCTTCCCAACTTCTCAGAGTAAAAGGCTTTTGGATAAAAAGTAGATTTTAAAGTAGATTTTTGTGGTTCTGATTCAGTCTGTTTTGAATTAAATCATTTGCTTCCTGCTTCTCCTCAGCAGATGGCCGCTCACACTGAGCCTGGTTCTGATGGAGGCTTCTTCCTGTTTAAAGGGAGTTTTCCTCTCCACTGTCGCTGCCTGCTTAGTGTGAGGGAGGAGGGATTCTCTCCTCCTGGAGAGAAGGAGGTCATTACGTCTCATAAAAGAACCATTCATAGAACAAATTCGATTATAAATCCTTCTACGAGTGATTCAGGAGAGAACGACGAATTCCCCATTTTTACACTTTGTTCTACTTTA